CTCTTTTTACAGTCTTTGTTTTAAAATCTATTTTGTCTAATATTAGTATTGCTACACCAGCTTTCTTTTCTTTCCTGTTTGTGTGGAATATATTTTTCCATCCTTTCACTTTAGTTCACTTTTAGTTTTAGGTGTGTGTCTTTAGATCTGAAGTGAGTCTCCTGTAGGCAGTATATGGATGGGTCTTGCTTCTTTATTTATTAAAAAAAATTACTTTTAATTCTAGTGTAGTTAACATACAGTGCTACATTAATTTCAGGTGTACAGTACAATTCCCTATATTACTCAGTGTTCATCAAGGTAAGTGTACTCTTAATTCCCTTCCCTTCTTTCACCCATACCCCACCCTCTCCCCTCTGGTAACCATCTGTTTGTTCTCTATAGTTAAGAGTCTGTTTTTTGGTTTGTCTCTTAGTTTTTCCTATGTTTGTTTCTTAAATTCCACATATGAGTGAAATCATATGGTATTTTTCTATGACTTATTTCACTTAGCATCATACTCTCTAGAACCATTATGTTGTTGCAGATGGCAGGATTTCATTCTTTTTTATGGCTGAATAATATTCCATTATATATATATGCCACATCTTCTTTATCCATTCATCTATTGATGGATACTTGGGTTGCTTCCATAATTTGGCTCTTGTAAATAATGCTGCAGTGAACATAGGGGTGCATATATCTTTTCAAATTGTTTTTGTATTCTTTGGGTAAATATCCAGTACTGCGAATACTGGAATATAGGATAGTTCTATTTTTTATTTTTTGAGAAACTTTCATACTCTCTTCTATAATGGCGCACCAGTTTGCATTTCCACCACCAGTGCACGAGGGTTCCTTTTTCTCCACATCCTCGCCAGCATTTGTTGTTTCTTGTGTTTTTGATTTAGCCATATCTCACTGTGGTTTTGATTTGCATTTCCTTGATGATGAGTGATGTTGAGCATCTCTTCATGTGTCTGTTGGCCATCTGTATGTCTTCTTTGGAAAAATGTCTGTTCATGTCTTCTGCCTATTTTAAATTGGATTATTTGTGGGTTTTTTGGTGTTGAATTGTGTAAGTTTTGGATACTAATCCTTTATCAGATATGTCATTTGCAGATATCTTCTCCCATTCAGTAGGTGGTCTTTTAGTTTTGTTGGTTGTTTCCTTTGCTGTGCAGGAGCTTTTTATTTTGATGTAGTCTCAATAGTTTATTTTTGCTTTTGTTTCCCTTGCCTCAGGAAGCATATCTACAAAGATGTTGTTATGGCCTATGTCAGAGAAATTATCGCCTGTGTTCTCTTCAAGGATTTTTATGGTCTCTTGTCTCACATTTAGTTACTTAATCCATTTTGAGTTTATTTGTCAGAATAAATGGTGTCAGAAAGTGGTCCAGTTTCATTCTTTTGCATGTAGCTGTCCAGTTTTCCAGACACCATTTATTGAAGAAAATGTTTTTTTCTTATTGCATATTCTTTTTCCCATTGCATATTCCCTTGTTTGTCAAAGATTAATTGACCATAACGTGGGTTTATTTCTTTGCTTTCTATTCTGTTCCATTGATCTGTGTGTCTATTTTTGTATCATACTGTTTTAATTACTACAGCTTTGTAATATAACTTGAAATCTGGAATTGTTATACCTCTAGCTTTGTTTTTTCTTTTTCAAGTTTGCTTTGGCTATTTGGGGTAATTTATGGTTTCTTACAAAGTTTAGGATTATTTGTTGCAGTTCTGTGAAAAAAAAAATGCTGTTGGTATTTTGATAGGGATTGCATTAAATGTGTAGATTCCTTTGGGTGTATGGACATTTTAACAATATTCGTTCTTGTAATCATGAACATGGAATGTTTTTCCATTTGTTTTTGTCATCTTCAATGTTTTTCATCAGTGTTTTATAGTTTTCAGAGTACAAGTTTTTCACCTCGGTTAAGTTTAATCCTAGGTATTTTACTATTTTGGGTGCAGTTGTAAATAGGAGTTTTCTTAATTTCTCTTTTTGCTGCTTCATTATCAGTATATTGAAACGCAATGGATTTCTGTACATTGTTTTTGTATCCTATGACTTTACTGAATTGCTTTATCAGTTCTAGTAGTTTTTTTGGTGGGGTCTTTAGGGTTTTCTATATATAGAGTATCATGTCATCTGCAAATAGTGACAGTTTTACTTCTTCCTAATTAATTTGGATCCCTGTTACTCTTTTTTCTTGTCTGATTGTTGTGGTTAGTACTTCTAGTACTTGTTGAATAAAAGTGGTGAGAGTGGACATTCTTGTCTTATTCCTGACCTTAGGGGGAAAGTTCTCAGTTTCTCCCATTTAGGATGATATTAGCTGTGAGTTTTTCTTTCTTTTTTTTTTTTTTAAGATTTTATTTATTTATTTGACAGAGAGAGAGACAGCGAGAGAGGCAACACAAGCAGGGGGAGTGGGAGAGGGAGAAGCAGGCTTCCCGCGGAGCAGGGAGCCCAATGCGAGGCTCGATCCCAGGACCCTGGGATCATGACCTGAGCCGAAGGCAGACGCTTAACGACTGAACCACCCAGGCGCCCTAGCTGTGAGTTTTTCATATATGGCCTTTGTTATGTTGAGATATGTTCCCCTCTAACCCTACTTTGTTGAGGGTTTTTAATCATGAATAGATGTTGTACTTTGTCAGATACTTTTTCTGCATCTATTAAAATGATTATATGGTTCCTGTCCTTTCTCTCATCGATGTGGTATATCACATTTATTGATTTGGGAATATTGAACCACTCTTGCATCCAAGAATAAGTTCCACTTGATAGGGGTAAATGATATTTTTAATGTATTGTTGGATTCGATTTGCTGATATTCTGTTGAGGATTTTTGCATCTATGTTCATCAGAGATACTGGCCTGTAGTTCTCTCTTTTTGTGGTATCTTTATTTGGTGTTGGTATCAGGATAATGCAAGCCTCATAGAATGAATTTGGAAGTGTTTTCCTTCCTTTTCTATTTTTTTGGAATAGTTTGAGAATAGGTATTAACTCTTCTTTAAATGTTTGGTAGAATTTGCTTGCAAAGCCATCTGGTCCTGGATTTTTGTTTGTTGGGTGTTTTTTGATTTCTGATTCAATTTCATTGCTAGTAATCAGTCTATTCAAATTTTCTATTTCTTCCTGCTTCCTGCTTCCAAGTCTCCATGTTTGTTTCTTTGTATTAGGTAGTTAGCTATGTCTCCTGGTCTTGAAGGAGCAGCTTTATGTAGAAGTCTCGTGGGGCACAGAAACACAACCCCCTTGGCCACCATAGACCGTTGCTGCAGGGCTCTCCCCTGTGTGGGGTGCATGTGCCCTCCTGTTGTGGCAGAGCTTGGACTATAGGTGTGCCGGTGGGAAGGGCTGTCCTCCGGCCCAGCTGGCTGTCACGCCGGCCCAGCTGCTTCAGGTTGTCCGGTTGTGTGCAAGGCCGTGCAGAGGCACAAGGTTGTGTGGGGCTCTCAGCAGTGTGCACCCCCTGGCATGAGCAGTCTGGAGGGCAGATCCGCATGATGGAATGAGTCAGCAAAAAGTTGCTGCCAGTGTCTGCGTCCCCAGGGAGAGACCCAGCTGTCCCCTGCCTCTCTGAGCAGATGCTCCAAGTTTAATAGGGGGTCTCCTTCACCTGTAGTCTCTGTGCTTTTTGTCTGGTCTTTTTGTGCTGGTTTCTGGGTCGAGTGAGTCTGCACACAGGCCCTTTAAGAATGGGTTTTCCTTTCCCTATGGTTCTATAGTTTTATGGGTGATTTCCTGGTGGTTTTGAAAGCCAGCTGTTTTGGGGTCTGTCTCATCTGTGCAGGATATAAGGCCTGATGTGAGCTTGAATCGCTCACTCTCTGGGAAAATTTCCATACCTTTGAGATCTGTCTGGACTGCGCAAGACCATGCCTGGGTATGGTTTTTCCATTAGTGAGACTGTGTTTCTGCCCCTTCTACCTGTCTCAGTGCTGTGTCTTGTTGTGGAGGTTCTGTTCATCCAGTTTCTAGGTCCCCCTTTAAAAGGAGGAATTCCATATGTAGTTGTAGATTTGTTGTGTCCATGGGAGGAGGTGAGCTCTGAATCTTCCTATGTGGCCATTTTGAGCCCTCTTCTCTACTAATGTATACTTTAAGTCACTATTTCCTGCACTGATAATCCAAAATTATCTAGTGTACAAGTACACAATGAAAGAATTGGGGTCACAGCAATTGCACTACTGGGTATTTACCCCAAAGATACAAATGTAGGGATCCGAAGGGGTATGTGCACCCTGATGTTTATAGCAGCAATGTCCACAATAGCCAAACTGTGGAAAGAGCCAAGATGTCCATCGACAGATGAATGGATAAAGAAGATGTGGCATATATATACAATGGACTACTACACAGCCATCAAAAAAATGAAATCTTGCCATTTGCAACAACGTGGATGGAACTAGAGGGTATTATGCTAAGCGAAATAAGTCAGTCAGAGAAAGACATGTATCATATGACCTCACTGATATGAAGAATTCTTAATCTCAGGAAACAAACAGAGTTACTGGAGTGGTGGGGGGTGGGAGGGATGGGGTGGTATGTGAATTGTGTAAGACTGATGAATCACAGACCTGTACCTCTGAAACAAATAATACATTATATATTAAGAAAAAGGAGATAGTAGGAAGGGAAAAATGAAGGGGGGGAAATTGGAGGGGGAGATGAACCATGAGAGACTCTGGACTCTGAGAAACAAACTGAGGGTCCTAGAGGGGAGGGAGGGGGATGGGTTAGCCTGGTGATGGCTATTAAGGAGGGCACGTATTGAACGGAGCACTGGGTGTTACACGCAAACAATGAATCATGGAACACTACTTCAAAAACTAATGATGTATGGTGATTAACATAATAAAATAAAATTTAAGAATTGGGGTCAGATCTTTGATTGTAATAGCATCCTATTTGGTAAATATAAGTAAAATAATTTGTAATTTAAATTAAAACATGATGAAGAAAAATGATGCATGCTAATTTTTCTTTCCCTCTGTTTTAATTTTACACAGGGCAAGAGCATCAGTTTCAATCTGGGAACCTTTAAATGAAACTTGCTTAAAATCTAGATCATACATAGAAGAGAGGCCTCGATCAACAAGGTGGAAAAGAGTGATGTTGTCCTTAACAAACCTGCAGAATATCATCTATAACCCGGTAACTGACTTCTATAAAATCACTTTTTATCTGTGGCAGGATTTAAAGCAAACCCAATTGGATAGTCATTATCCATTGCTGGGGAGGGGGGATGATTAAATTCAGTAAACGTATGGAAAGTACCCATCCTGTGATAGGGACTGTGGTGGTCGCTGACAGAAAAATAGATATAGCCCTTGGAGCTCAATCTAGCGGAGGATGAAGTCACAGTGACAATACAGGGTGGTGAGAATGAGTTCTGAGTGGAGAACATGGGGGTACAGTGGAGGGAAGCCAACTTTGGGGGTGCTGGGAAGATAATCACAAGACATAATTTTCAAAGGAAAATGGATTTGTTGCACTAAAATTTTTTAATTTGCTTTTTTGATTAGACCCTGTTCATGAGAAGTAAATGTCTGTTTTCCCCTCAGCTTTTCCCTCTTTCAAGTATTGCTTCATACTTGAGTGGGGCAAAGGTCAAAAGCTAGGGGCAAGTTGGAGAAAGAGAAGAATTAGGGTCTTTTGGTCCAAAAGCCCCAGTGACTGCAATTGCTAGAACTTTCAGTGTACATCCTGGGAAGTAATGAACTTGTTTTAGTTTTATGTGGCAATAAGAATCTTGAGAAATGTCTGGTTTCCACATATCTGAAGCTGAATCCTGAATTTGGGTCTGAGATAGAGTTGCTGCTTTTTTTTGTAACCGCTCGTCCTCCACCCCAGGAGACTAATGGGCAAGAGAGAGAGGGTGCAAGTCCTTGAAGTAGGGCCCTAAGCCAGTCTCATTTGTGTTTGTGGTCCCCTTTTTTTGTTACTTTCTAGTTGTAACTCTTTTTTATCCAGGTTTTGATGTCATTATGCAGAGTGAGGGACAACTACCACATCAAGCAGATTCCATTTTATTTAGTTAGTTATTTTAAAAGATTTTATTTATTTGACAGAGAGAGACACAGCGAGAGAGGGAACACAAGCAGGGGGAGTGGGAGAGAGAGAAGCAGGCTTCCCGCTGAGCAGGGAGCCCGATGTGGGGCTCGATCCCAGGACCCTGGGATCATGACCTGAGCCGAAGGCAGTTGCTTAACCAACTGAGCCACCCAGGCGCCCCAGCAAATTCCATTTTAGAAGAAATAGCCTTCAATAGTAGGCTTCCTTTAAAAAGGAAGATTGAGTTTGAAGTCAGTGGGACATTCAAAATGATTTTCTGTATCTTACAGTTAAAAACATCTCAAGGTTGGGGACGCCCAGGTGGCTCAGTCGGTTAAGTGTTCGATTCTTGATCTCAGCTCAGGTCTTGATCTTGGGGTCATGAGTTGAAGCCCCACATTGGACTCCACGCTGGGTGTAGAGCCTACTTAAAAAACAACAGCAACAACATCTCAAGGTTGTAGATGGACTTTCTGCAAAGATTAAAAAAAAAAAAAAAAAAGGCTGCCCACAAGGGTGCCTGAGGTCCAGCCCCGGCTCCTGCCAGGAGGTGGAAGGGATGGTCAGGTGATGCTCCTCAGTTCTGCCCTTCCTGCACAAAGGTGCCTTACCTGAATGTGATTTAGAAAGTAATTTTTTAGATTAAAATTGCTGTGCGTCTTGATACAAGCATGCTGATGATTCCTGTAATTTCTGCACATTCAGCTACAGGGTCGAAACAAGAGTGCACTGATGTTCATTTCGTGCCGAAGGGCCAGGAGCCGTAGTGGTGCTCTAGGGCAGGAATGCAGCCAGGGCCCCCACGTGGCCTCACTGCTGTTCTGAGGATAATTTATGGTGACATATTCTTCCAAAGTAAATACTTTTGGCAAATAGCCTTCTTTTTTTTTTTTTTTTTCCCAGTTTTTCAGTTTTATAGTCCGTTTTCACAAGCAGAAAAGGGTAGAGGTAGAAAGATTGAACTGAATAGCAAAAATGACCTTTTGCTGGGGTGCCTGGGTGGCTCAGTCAGATAAGCGTCCTACTCTTGATTTCGGCTCAGGTTGTGATCTCAGGGTCATGAGATTGAGTCCTGAGTTGGGCTCCGTGCTCAGCGGGGAGTCCGCCTGGGATTCTCTCTCCCTCTGCCCCCCCTTCTCTCTGTCTCTCAATCTTTCTCTCTAAAATAAATAAATCTTTTTAAAAAATGACACTGCTCCGTCTTTAAATTTAACTTCTTAAATATTCATAGCACCAAGTGCTCACACTGCTAAGCTCTTCTTCAGTTTTTTGAACTGATCACTAACAAAATAACTGTAATGCAAGAAAATAGTTCTTTTTAAGTCTAGCTTATACAATATCCTAATCGACTGACTTAAAATATCTAAGTTATTTGCAGCCTCTGTTTTTTTTCCCCATTGTGTTTTGAACACTGAAAGGACAGCTAGCTGCAAATGGAGAAGAGCTTAAGCAGTGTGGACACTCTTGTGTTTATTGGCTTTTTACTGTAAGCTTTATGAAGCATTATGAAGACACAGAACTACCGCCTTTTAATTTTTATTTCTTAATGTTTCAAAAGTTTCCATCCACACTGGCAGCAAATTCTACCATATTAAGTCTTCTTGGAAAAAAATAAAGTACACTGTGTAACAGTCCTGTGTGCTTTTTCATACCTAATTTATTTCACTGACTGTTGTTTATACAGTTCTTAATATGTGACTGAGTGTTAGCTGGTTAAGAAGTTACTTAGCAATGAATCAAATTGGTTAACATTCATTCCACCTGGTGCCAAAACATCTTCCAGTCTCCTTGGGAACCTCACTTCCACCTTTATCCTTTTCTCCTTAGTATTCTGAGTACCTCCCCTTCCTGCCTTACCACTTAATCTTAAAACACAAGACAGTAAAATCTTTCTTAACCTCCGAGGTCCCGTCCAGCCTCGTGTCCTTGTTCTGTCTCCCCTTGCTGACCATCGTCCTGAGAACGCGTCCATTCTGCTGTCTTGGTTCGCTCATAACAGCTCTGCCCTCTGATTTTTTTTTTTTTACTCTTTCTTAATTTCCTTTTTGTCTTTACTAGTCATGTCTTTCTCTTCATTTTGTGTCTTTACTGATCACCGTTCGACCTTTTGAGTATGTACACAGCTTGTGAGCAGTTCTGGCCTTTTAGCTAAGGTTCTTAGATGCCCTTGCTTCAAGACTGAGGAGTTCATATCTAAAGTTACGTCTTGCTCCCCGAATCAGCTTCCCTTTTGCGGGTTTCCATTCCTTTCCGTGTCTTTCTGCTGTTTAACTTTGCCGCCTCCCATGCCGCCAAGCCCCAGATAGTTTGAAGATAATCTGTGTTCCAAATTTAATTTCACTTATGTCAAACCCAGTGGCTTTTCCTTTTTTATTATTATTTTTAAAATCTAAAGATAGTATGTGTAAATCATTTTTAAAATTCAAACCGTATTTAAGGGTTACATGAACCCATAAATTTTCCTTCTGCCCTGGTACTCGGTTCCCCTCCCTGAAGCCAACCCTATTTACCAGTTTTCTGTAAACCCTTCCCAAGAATACATGTGAATATCCAAGACTGTGTGTTGTGTGTATCACTATTATTGGTCCTGTTTCTTCACACGTGTGTATCACACTACAGACCTCGTTTTATGGTGCTTCCCTCAAAGTGAGGGTCTGTGGCAGCCCTGCGGCAAGCAAGTCTGTCAGCACCATTTTCCCAACAGCATTTGCTCTCTTCACGTCTCTGTCACAATTTGGAAATCCTTGGAACACTTCAAACGTTTTCATTATTATCATATCAGTTACAGTGGTCAGGGATTACAGCCTGCTGAAAGCTCAGACGATGGTTGGCATTTTGTAGCAATATTTTTAAATTAAAGAAAGTACTTTTTTTTCCTTTTAGATATAATGCCACGCACACTTTAATAGACTTCCTTATCATGTACACATAACTTCTTTATGCACTGGGAAACCGCAGAATGTATCTGAACAGCTTTTTTGCGGTCTTCACTTTATGGAAGTGGCCCGGAAGCCCACCCCGCGGTATCTCCAAGGTGCCTGCATAGACACTGCTCAGGGTGCTCCTCTCCCCACTGAACGCATTTTGGAGCTCTCAGCACACTTGGGATTTCCTCGCTTATTGTCGAGGCTGCATGACTGGTCCATCGGATGGAGATACCGTCACTTATTCAGCCAGTTCCCATGAAAGGACTGTTTCCTTTTGTGATGGGACCCAGGGCTGTGGGTTACAGCCTGGTATGCGCATCCTTATGCATGTGTGCCCGAATTTTATAGCATCAGTCTGTAAAAGTGGAATCACTGGGTCAAAGAGCATGATAGCCATTTCATTATCTTTTTTAAAATCTTCCTTATTTTTCCATGTTAAGGATTTTGACAGTCTTCCCATATTGAGACTGACCTCCTGGAGGTGTCCAGCTGACCGATCCTTCTCTCCTTTCTCTCCCCATCCCCCCGAATCGAGGTCCCCAACACACACACCCAGGTGTGATGATTCAGCGGCACATAGTCCTCCTCACGGCTGTGGTTTATTACAGTGAAACGATAAAGAACAACGTCACTAAGGGAAAGGCACCTGGGGCAAAGTCCAGGGGAATCCAGGTGCCAGGTTCCACAGGTCGTCCCCCGGTGGACTCCCCCAGGACGTACTGAAATCCCCCAGCAGCAAGCTGTGACAGTGCGTGCGAAATGCGGCCCACCAGGGAAGCCCCCCAGACTCCCTGCCCAGGGATTCGCTCGGGAGCTGGGCACGTGGACTGCACTGCCTAACACGTACCGCAATGCCGGACTCCCGAGAGGAAAGCGGGGTTTAGCATACGCCACATGGCTTGCACAGTGTAGGTACAGGAGACCACCCTTGGCTGTCTGGGTGGTGGGTGCTCTCCCCAGATCCAAGTTCCTAGACCCCAGCCAAGGGCCAGCCTCGTCAGGAGGCCTTGCAGGGCTAGCAGTCCCGTCTGCTTTGTTAACTCTGTCCTGCATACACCCACATTTTCCAAACCATTTTACAAACCTTTGCCCCTGCCTTGTCCTCTCAGCTTATCTACTTTGATCCCTTTAATAATCTTATCTGACTGGGAGCATGAGTCCTGGCCACTCAGTCACCATGTGGCCCTGGATCCCCCACCCCTCTCGGTGTATGTTTTCCCAACCCATCACACAAGACGTGTTCAAAACTAAGCTCCTCTTCCTCCTGAAATCTGTTTCCTCCCCAGTTTTACCATTTTAGACGGTGGCCCCTAGAGATCGTTTCCTTTGAAGTGGTCTTGGTCTGTCTCTTCCTCCCTCGAGTCCCCCAGGGTCTACCACCATCGCCTGGCTTGTGTCCTTGTCTCCGGCTCCCAGCGAATCCGCTGCGCTCCAGCATTCTGTACCCCGCTGGACCGTTGCCCCCAAGCCCCGCTTTCATGATCTCATTGTACGCTCTCCCCCTCCGTCTTGAACTGCCCCCTTCCTCCTCACTGTCTGCCGGATCTGTTTTGGCTTTTCCTGCCTCTCTGCTTTTGTAAACGGACATCTCTACCAGAACGGGCTTGCCCCTCCCAACCGCCCAGCTCACACCACGCTCCTTATCAACGTTCTTTGGGCAACTTGGAATTCTTTATACATTTTTCTGAAGCACCGATCTGGTGCCCTGTATTTGAAGATGTTGAACTTACTGTCTGTAGTTGGAAGCACAGAGGCCAGTCCTAAGCAGAAAAGGAATTTATTCAGTGATACTCAGTAGTTCTCAGAATCTGTAGCAGGACTGAAGAACCACACTTGGCAACTACAGAATCACAGACGATACCTAGAGTCATGCTGTACGACTCTTCCCACCAAGAGGGTCCCTTTGCACTGGCAACCCCACCCGGGCCAGCCCTGCCTCCGACCCCGGGGACAGCTGCTGCCCGCCGGCAGAGCCACCACTCAGTGATCCCGGCTTCTTGTCGCTGGTTCTAACTTCCTGTCTGGAAGGTCTGGGGGGCCTGAGTGACCGAGTTTCATCCTATGCCCTTGCCCTTCCCTGCAGTTGAGATGAGGCTGAGTGAGGATCTTCCAGATACGGGAGAAGATGGTGATTCTGAACAGCCCGAGTATCCCATTTCCACGGGGATCTGACTTCTTCCCGGCTGCATTCCAGGCCCCTCCCGGACAGGACTCGCATACTTCTTTTAGCTGCAGAGTCCGCCGAGGAGAGACCTTTGTGGGTAGGAGACATTGCAGAAGTAATCCTAAAACAGGCAGAGCACTGTGAGTCAGCTAGGATGTTCCGGCAGGTAACACTAAACCCAAGTATGGCTTAAACTTACAGTGTTGTCTCCAGTGTGATCAGAGCTGTGCTTTAATTTTTTTTACTTAAATTATTCATGAAACATCAAAGCTTGACATTTACCTACAAAACAGCGTCCTCCTCCCTTTTCACTGGAGCAGATAGTCATGAGTTCAAGGAGTGGGCTGCAGGGCATTTCATGTCACTCACATGATCCAAATCACTTGAGTATGACTGATAACATGGAGGGAACTTTCCTAAGTAGGAAGTGTTAATCCAGACAACTAAAAGAGCAAATGGCGAAAATGTTCAGCACTGTTGTTTCTAGACTGGAACAACTTATTAACAATTGTGAAGAACTTACTGGCAGTGATGGGTAGATTATTGAGTCTCAGAAAGCTCTTTCCAACCCTAAAGTTAAATATATAATAAAAACTTGTGGTTGTAAAAATATAAATGCTTATTGTAGAGATCTGGAAAATATAAAAATACATGAAGAAAATTAACATCCCATTCCTCAAGAAAACTATTATTAACATTTTTGGTTTATTTCATTACAGTGTTTTCTTTTTTTAATGTTTAGCATTAACTTAGGTAAGATCATACTGTGTATAGTTCTGCAGGCTCTTTTCTCGCTAATATTTTTATCCCTGACATTTTTGCATCATTAAATATTCCGCATAAATATAATTGGAATGTATATAAAATTTGAAGTTATGAAGACTGTTCAGTCGATTAAGAGATTTACCCTGCGGAGGGTCCTGCTAGCTGTTCCTGGAATCGGCTGTGGCCCAGAAGATCAGTGTGGACGTGTAATTCCTTCCATATCCTCTCCACACAGCACCCAGCTGCTTTGGCATGGGGCTGTCGCCACCCTCTGACGTGTGCTGTGGTGTTTTCTGGTGGGATGGACTCTGCTCCTCCCACCCACCATGCTCTCAGCAGCTGTCCTGACACCAGGTGACACCAGGGGACAGCGGGCTTCCATCCTTTTCTGCTGTTCTTGGTCATCGCTTGGCTCACTGGTTAAGGCAGCAAGACGTGTCGTTGAGCTGCTACTCAGCTGCCACTCGTCTGCGTATGTGCGGTTTGCTAGAACCCAGTTTCTGGGCTGGTGAGAACTCACTCCTTCACCGTGCAACCACTGACCGGCTCCTGACCTCAGCTGTGGGCGTGTAAAGGTGCAGCTTACAATCTAGGCGGTGTCTCATGTGCTGTGAGGGGCCCTCGGAGAGGGGCAGTGTCCCTTGGCCCACGGAGTCTGAAAAAGGCTCCATGGAGGAGATGGTGCTTGTGCTAAGATTTTCAGCTTAGGAACCACCGATCTACAACTACTTTTATATGCCCTCTCATTTTAGGTCTTATTTCTTGACAATCAGAGCTACCTTGGATAGATTTTAGCATTATGTCCTAACGGGTGAGCCTGGTGTAAAGCATGATGGTGTCTGGCCCGCCTGGCTTGCTCAGATGCCCCCGAGTGAAAGGGGCAATGGTTGTGATGCAGGAGGTGCAGCCAGTGGGTGAGGAGGATGGTGGAGTCACCTCTGGGGAAGTGACAAGATCTGATAGTGTGTCCAGCCCCGGACAAAAAGGCTGGGTTCCAGGTGATGAGGGGGGCAGGCTGAGACCTGGATACTGTGTTGGAACCTAAGCCTGCAGACTGGACCAGGCCAGGCCAGGTGGGTGCTGTTTTGAGAGACCACAGGCCCCCAGAGTCATCCCTGAGATCACGTGGTTCTGATTCCCAGCAAGGGTCTGCAAGCCTGGGCTGTGCTCTGGAAGCCTGGCAGGGAAGATGAGACACTCGGATCCCAGGTGTGGAGGAGGGGCTATGTTCGGAGCCCCCTCCACAGGCGGTGAGCCAGTGTCACTGCCTCCATCAACACAGGCTCGGGGCCTCGCATGCTCTCGGTCCCCGTGTTGGGATCAGCAGTGGAACTTTAGGGGAGGGGGAGGGGGACAGGACTTCCAGCAAGTTTTTTTTCCTATTATCAGAATTATTCTATTAAGGAGACATTTTATTTCACAAAACCCCCAGCCAAATAAAAAAGTCTGTGAACTTTCAGCTATGTCTCTCTGTAAAGAACTCAAAAGAGGTTTCAGATACTGTCACTATCCTGTTTGAATAGTGACTTGGAAAAATGCTAGATTCCGAGATTTACATGCAGCCTTTCAAAATGTAGTCTTTCTGTTTTATGTAAACATCCACTTGTTAAAATTATTTTTTCCTAGGTAATCCCCTATGTTGGGACCATTCCTGGGCAGTTGGAGCCTGGAACTTTGATTGTAATACGTGGGCATGTTCCCTGTGATTCGGACAGGTAAAGCCATCATGTTAGATGAAACAGGTACACGACTGAACTGTCTTTTTGTGGGGAGACCGTTTTGGTACTTTGAGGCCTGGTTTTGCTTTCATCAGCAGCCCCAGTGCAGGTACCAAGGAGATGGGAGTAAATGACTGAAATAAAGGTCACTTCGGTGTTTAATTACAGTGAGTCTGGTTTGAATATAAAGGATTAGAGATCTGGTTCATGACGGGAATTGTGGTCAGACCTCAGGGACAAGGTCTAGTTACAGCATAACGTTCCCACAGCATCGCTTAAGATCCTTTCTGGGCGAGTTGTCTGATGCTTGCTCGGGGTACAAACTGTGGACGAGGCTGAATTTGAGCTGGGCCAGCTCTGTGTGGCTGATGCCTGGATAACAGCGGTGGAAGTCAAGTCTGAAGAAGACATCCCACATGTTTCCAGGCAACTCCATAGAACCTGGAGAAGCAGGCCTCTCCCGGCTCACGGTTCTGCTGTCCCTAGGGTGAGGTCCTCTTCCTCAGGGCTCGTGGCAGCTAGAAATCCAGCCCTTACACCATGTTTTGGGTGGCTGGGTGGGTGCCTTTGGGGTTTGGGGGAGTGGGCGGGGGGGGTGGGGGTGGACAAAAGGAGGCAGATGCTGGCTGACTTCGGGCCATTCCCAGGAGCCTTCCCTGAACACTTCCACCTCAGCAGAGTCTCCAGGACGCCTGCCTGCCAGGGAGGCTGGAAAATGTGGGCTCTTACTCTGCAAAGACGGGGCCCCAGCCACAGCTCAGGGCTCTGCACTGAGGAAGGAAAGGAAGATTCTGTAAGAAGGTATTTAGGCCACATGGGTGAAGGAACAGAGGATCAGTCATGGGTCGCTGAGGCTGGAGTTTCATGCTTGCTGGGCCTTCCCCCGCAGCCTCCTTCCAAGTGCCCATGCAGCCCCTCGCTCCTTGCTCTCGCAGGTTCCAGGTGGATCTGCAGTGCGGGAGCAGCGTGAAGCCACGCGCCGACGTGGCCTTTCATTTCAACCCACGTTTCAAGTGGTCCGACTGCATCGTGTGCAATACTCTGAAAAATGAAAAATGGGGATGGGAAGAGATCACCTACGACGTGCCTTTCAAAAAAGAAAAATCTTTTGAAATTGTGATGATGGTGTTGAAAGACAAATTCCAGGTAGGTTTTGGGGAATGTAGGTGGAATCCTCATTAATGGCCATAAGTGCCCAGGGCAGCTCTGCACCCCTCTATTGTTTCAGTTCAGAGAAAAAAGAGTGGCTTTATCATTTTGCTCAAAAGTAGGGGCCGGGGGGGTACCTAAATGGGAGGTGGGGCACACATCTGTCTGCCCTGCTGTTTCATCTGGAATATGGGTCCAGGGCAGCCTACCTTTTTATTAGATCCTGTTTCTAGCGTGGCTGAGCTTAGATCTGAATTGGCACAGCATCGTATAAATATGGGATAGTCAACTGTGGTCACCGTGACCCAAAGTGTGAGGCATCCGAAACTAACAGATGGATAGAGAATCAAAGTTCTGCCACAAGTTCTTTAGGATCATGAGATTTTAGATGCAGAGGAGGTCCTAGAAGTCCTACGTGTAGTAAATCCCACCCCTGGCTTCAAGCGGTAAATACCCTACACGTACTAGCGGCTTTGGATGGGGTGCACTTGCCCTCGAGCCCTGTGGAGCCTCGAGCCTCCCAGACTAGAGATCTGCTCGGCTTACAGTGAAGATTTCCCGTCTCTGGTGCGGGTCCTTTCTGTCCTTTGGGATATGCTCCCACCAGCACACTTGCCCTGACTCTCCCGAACTCCAGTCGTCCCTCCCCACCCTGGCGCTCTGAGCACCTGTATCTGCAGCATTCATTAAAACGCTCGGTCCTGTACTGTGTGCCTTTTCCTGTTTATTTTACCCGCCAGTGGGATTTTAAGCTCCTTGAGGTCGGAGACCGGTTTGCATCCGGCCCGTGTTTTCCCGACATCCCCTAGCTGGGAGGGAGGGACAGGGAGCCGAGCGGAGTGGACACCTGCCAGCAGGCTGTGTGCTGCCCGACTCTCGAGTGGCTTTATGGTCTCCTCACAACAGCAGCCCGTTCTTTGAGGGAGAGCCTTTTCCTGCTTACACTAGGAATCGCAGCTGAATTGCGTAGCTTGCCCATGTCCCTTCATTTAGCAGATTCAACAAATATTTACTGAACACCTGCCGTGTGCAGGGTGGTCTTCCTTAGAGTGTGGTCCTCAAGGACAGTGGGTGGGTGGCAAGCCTGCAGGGCAGATCGCCAACCGGGGTGTTCACAGGCCTAGGGCATCGGGGGACTCATGTATATGCACGGGGGCACACATGCGTATGCACATATACTTATAAATGCATAATCTGTCGGTGGGGTGGGGGGGTCCATGGTGGTTTCTCAAAGGAAGTTAAGAAACACTGCTAGTATTATGGATGCTTTCAGTTTGGTCAGACATGTAATGTGCAGACTGTGGGCAAAGATATAATTAAACCCAAGTAAACACTATTTAAATTTGGCTTAAATTTGGATACATTAGTAAACGTATTAATTGTTTTTTTGTTTTGTTTTGCCGGGGGTGCTGAGCTGTCTTCTGTATCCATTTAGGTGGCTGTAAATGGGAAACATATACTGCTCTATGCCCACAGGATTAGCCCAGGGAAAATAGACACTCTGGGCATTTACGGCAAAGTGAATGTCCACTCAATTGGTTATAGCTTCAGCTCGGTGAGTATCCTTCCATAGCCTGGGGTCTTCTTCGGTGATGTCTTCTGATGAAACGGTAGGAAGTATCTTTAACGTCTTCTGTTAAGATAAAAATACTGTAAATGTTTCCATCATTAGTGTATTAATTTCTTGGAAGTAAATCTTTCAGACTGGTAGTGTGCTGTGTATTGGCCAGGGCTTTAATGTCTATAGGAGCTCAAATCTAGTATGGTTTTAACGACGACAACAAAAACAAAACCCAAAACATTAACTACAAAACAAAACAAAAACCCTTTTTAATAGGGACTGATTCCTTGACATAGGAGTACAGGGGAGGATTTCTCGAAAATCAATTCCTAGAAGTAGAAAGTCTGAGTCAAAGGGTATGTGCAGTTTAAGTTACAACTGATACTAATTGGAGGGCTGGTGAGCTCACCCTCCAAAAAGACTTCCAACAATGAAGTTGTGGCAGCCATGCCCGCTCACTCACATTCTTCTCGATGCTCGTTCTTAGTCTCTGTAACGCTTGCCAGTTTCATAGGGGAAAGGACCCTAATGTGAAGTACATTTTTGGATTATAATTTTCAAGCATATTTTCATGTTTAGTATTATTTATAATTCTTTCCTTTTGATGTGTCAGGGAGGTTGTATTTAGAATTCTGATGGATGTTAAAAATTAATCTTATCTCCAGGATTTCAGAAGTACCCAAGCACCTACTCTGGAACTGACAGAGATAAGTAAAGAAAATGTAAATATTAAATCTTTTCATGAACTACCAGTTTAAAAATATTCTTTTAGTTTCCATGTAAATCAGGTAGCAGGCAAGCTGAGTTTTTTAAAATTATGTTTTTAATGTGAATAAATATTTTTAATTATTAATAGGCTGGAAGTAAGCATTTGAAAATTAAGGCATTTCCTTCTATCCCAGGCACTGTACGTTTTGCAGATGCTAGAGCTCTCAGTGTATCTGCCCACTACCCACCATTCTTACGTAAAAAAACAACAAAAAAACCCCTCTCACTCTTTAACTGTTGAAGAGAATTGTCACATGGTATTTATAAATACCAAACACAGTGCCTTGGCACATGAACTTCCACATATATCTTCTCCCCGGTAGGAAGAAGTACAGTCTAAACACTGAGTCTCTGTTATTAATGGAGAAAGTGATGCCTTAATGATCTCGGAACATGTGACCTAATAGATGGAATATAGCATCTCAGCATTTTGGGAGCACCTTGGAAAGAACAAGTAAAACATGTCTGAAGTTCACGTGTAGTCCTACAAAAAATTAATTTATGCTGGAGGATACAGGCTTCAGCTGACCAGGACCATGAGACTATCCCCAGCCTGAGTAGCCCATCACAAGTCCGCACCACCCCGTCAGGAAGCACAGGCTCTGGCTGTTATAACCAATAAGATCTGACTGCTCATGTTATAAAATGTAATTTTTCCCTTTCAAATGTCTTCACTTTGACTTTCTCTTCCAATAGGTACTGAAGTCCGACACACCACATTTTGTAAGTATTTTTGCCTAGGTTATAACACGGAATGTTTTATAAAATAACCCAGGACATGAATAGTTTAAACCTTAGAAGATAGCTTCATTCCTTCCCTACCTTACTGCAGAACTCTTTCCCCAACAGCCTAGTAATAGAGGAGACATTTCTAAAATCGTACCCAGAACTGTCTACACCAAGAGCAAAGGTTCGACTGCCAATCACACTTTGACTTGCGCCAAAATACTACCTACCAGCTGTTTGTCGAAGGTTTGAAGAGCCAAAAATTTTCTTAATTCTGTATAGCCAATTAAGTTTTAATTAGCTGGTAATGTGTAACTTCTACCCTCAGTAGAAGCCCAAAGCAGCCACTCTGCCTTTCTGTGCTGACCCCGGAGAAGAGTCAGCTGGGCATCGAGGCTCTAGGCTGAGTCTTTCTGTAAGCCTCCCCCCGGGGCTACTTCCCCTCAGGCTGAACGTGGAGCACGTCTGCAGACTCCAAGTGTAGGCGACTTTCTCGAAGTGTGTTTCACTCAGGCCCCACTTCACGTGCATTCATGTCCTCCTCTGAAACGTTTTCCTTGAGTGTTCGCTGTGAGCCAGGTGGTGCTGACCGCTGGGGCTCACAGGGGCAAGGCCTTTAAACATTGCCCCGTGTCTTTGGACAGTTTTCCCATGAGGTCACTTTCTCCAGGCTTCCTAGTGCTGACTGTGGTTTCTCCTCAGACTCTTCCATTCACTGCGAGGTTGAACTCCTCCATGGGCCCTGGACGAACCGTCTTCATTAAAGGAGAAGTGAATAAAAATGCCAAAGGGTCAGTACCACTGTGACCAGGACTAGTGCGAGTACTTTGCCCACACGTCTCTTACTGCCTTATAGCCCTACCAGTCTTGTGACCGAGGAGCAGGAGTAGTGTCCTGATCCTCACCGGAAAGGTGAGACTGTCAAAGCCACGGGAGGTCAGGCTGCCAACAAGACTGCTAACAACTAGCTGGTGGCAGAATCAGGACTAAAGGCCAATGTTCTGAGCTAGGCTTTTTGTGGCCAGACAAGAGGGTGGCGTTTTTGTCTGGGAAGCCCACCTGTGCCTTGTAGAACTCCAGGGCAGCCAGGAGGTCATGTGACTTGTAGAATCTCTCTTAAGAACCTTTTCTAGAGATGTTCAGACTTCTGAAAGCTTGAAATTAGCTATTTCCTAGAAAGCAATCACTTTCAAGAACAGAACAGTTGTAAATATTAAAATAGTACTTGAGAGGACCGCATCCTCCTGCAGCCAGAAGCAAGCATTTAGGTTACTTGCTCTAACCCTTCAGTTGCTTCCCACCCAGATCTGAGGCCTCAACTCTGATGTTCAAGTTTTTTAGATTTTTATTTTGCAAAGAGCATATTTACATCAGTGGAATGCTAACTCCGAATTTAAAATTTTACCTTCATCTGCATTCTTGTATCTGTGTGCACATGTTTTGTGTAATTGTGATATGAGAGCTCAGTTCTGATTGTTAAAATTGCAGAAACCACACTGCGGTCTTCAACTTGGTTTTGTTTTTTTATTCTCTCAAAAGCTTTAATGTTAACCTAGTATCAGGAAAATCAAAGGATATTGCTCTTCACTTGAACCCACGCCTGAATATTAAAGCATTTGTAAGAAATTCTTTTCTTCATGAGTCCTGGGGAGAAGAAGAGAGAAATATTACCTGTTTCCCATTTAGTCCTGGGATGTACTTTGAGGTAAGATTTTCTTACGGGACACGACAAAGAATCCTGGGAGGAGGAGTAGGATAAATGGACTTTTTAAATCAAGTCCTAGCTTAATATGTGGAAATTGCACCTGGCTTTTATTTGAAGAGGGTCTGTGTTATAAAAGGGGCGTTCAAAATACAGTCAGTATTTTGATTGGCATAAGTGGCACAGCCATTAGAATACTACCTGGTTTGCTTGGCATTATTACTATGTGGCCCCATATTAGTTTATAGGAATTTTAACCGGAACCTTGCCTCAGGACAGAGAAAGAGGTTTAGGATATTACCTAAGTGAACATAAGGACACAGGAACCATAAAATTGTTTGCTCTGTCACCTGCCATCTTGGTTATATATAGCTTTAGGTGGCAGTCCTTTCTTCCAGGTTAGTCCTGTTTGTATATTATTCAAGGGAAGAGATGTTTAGACCCTTACTAAGACATATGGTCCTGAGTCCCCCCAAATGTGTGAATATTATGGTCGCACAACCTTTCCCAAAATGTGTTCCTGGATGCTGAGCAGACAGTAATCTTGACGTGGATGCTGAGTGGTTGGCTAGGTTCACTCACCAGCTTAGGTGAAGCACTGCCTTACGTGGTCATTCAGCGTCACTGATTTAAGTCATGCTTCTATGTTCTCCAAACGGTCACATACTCTGGACCATTAAGTTGAGTTCTTAAGGACTCATCAAAACTAGCTGTTAAAGGCCAGAACGTCAAGGCTGAATAGAAGATGGCAATCGGACATTCATATGTATTCGTAAGTTCCCGGTATGTGGAGCAACAGATGTGCCCTAATCGTAGGAGGTTCCCTGGAAGGTGTGGAGATTGGTTTGGAATTCAGAAGGATGTAGGAGGGTGAAGTTAAAGGTGGGTTTTCCAGATTGAGAGGATGATTTGAGGTGTGGAGTGCAGCACAGGGGTTTCTTGGCTCGGCAGGAGTCAAGGTATCAAAGATGACTGGGGCTCACTGGCAGGAGACAGAGGTGACTGCTCCAGAAGGAAGTGGACCCTTGGGGCTGGTGACAGGAAACCAGTGACATAACTTGTTCTTTGAATCAACCCCAAGTTTGGTTCTGTATTAAAATGGAAAAGGACAGAATTCTTTTAAATAATCATTTTTTCCTTTTGTTAGTTTCCTACCTTAGGAACAGTAATTACCCTCATGTTGGACCGCTGTTTTTAATTTTCTGTAGTGATTGGTTTTTCTCTGCTTCAAACTCCTGCCTTTTTAATATGCTTTCATTGAGATTCTGGGACTATTCCATTATGCCATTAGCTTGATTTTAACCAGTATCTTCTGTTCCTTATTGTTTCAGATTCATTTATTCGGCTGCCACAGTCTTTTAAAAAATATCTTTCAGTTTTGTAATTTCTTTTATCATCAAATCAGGTTGTTATGAGCTGTTCTAGAACATCAGATGGTTGTGAGGGATTTTGTTGTTCCATGTTTTCTTATAGATTGTGGTCTTTCGCACATTTTGTACTTGTTCGGTGGTAGTGTGTTCCCTGGGCCGCAGGCGGTTCCCTTCCATCTGTAAGGCAGTGGTGCCGCGCTTGCTCTGGTACGATGCGGGGGACCGATGCGGGGGACCGATGCGGGGGACCGATGGACTCGTCCCACGACGCCTGTCTACTGCCCCTTCTGGGCATGAGGCTGTATTTTGTGTTCTCTTGAGATTTTGTTGAAGGTACCTCACCGAGGGTCCCTTCCACCTGGTTGAAACTGGGATTTCCACCACTGTTGTGAGGATGACAGAATCCCAGGTTATGGGTATTTTCCCCAATTCTCTATGTGGCTCTAAAGCCTTTGATTCTGTCACCTCTTTTATCCAGGGAATTTCCCCTCACAGCCACTTTCACTAGTAGAGCAAAAGAATAAATACACTCTTTGCTTCTTTGCAGATTTAGATTTTGCCTCGGCCTGGCCCCTGGGGATGGAGCCGGGTTAGCAGCAGGGCTGTGCTGCTCCTTTCTGCTCTTCTGAAGCCTTGACAGAGGGAAGAGACAGAAGGGAGAACACAGTGCAGGGTCACCAAACTGGTCCTTTGAGTGTGAGTGGAGAACAACTGGCAGAATTGTGGCTGACTGGCATCGGGAATGTGTTACCAGAAGTAGGTGTTTTAGGTGTAAAAGTGATTTTAAAAGGATCGTAGTTTCTTTTGGTTTTCGCCGTTTTGAGTTTTAGGCAAAGACAACTCTGAAAGCTTCACACCAGTCATGAATCTGAATTGAATCTTTGCCACAGTGCTCATTCCTGTGTGGATTCATAGAATCCTGAGCTTTTGGGAAACAGATGGAGACCAAGATGTGCTGAGCTGGGATGGAAGTCAGGGTCACCACGCAGCTGTGCAATCCTAGAGAGTGCCCTAAACTTCTGACGTTTTTGATTGTGTGATTTGTCTAAGACCCTAGAGTTTAAGGCAGAAAAGTCCCTTGGTTTTCAACCTGTAAGCTAGAATCCACTCCTCTGTGTCAGTCTGGCAGCAGTTTTTGACGTCATTACAGTTCCCAAACATGGGTGGGGGGCGCAACTTTGCTGGGAGCGACGGGCAGGAAAGGGCACAGCGTAGGTAATGTGCTAAGGGCACGAAGGCCTCAGGCCCTGGGGACAGTGTGAGGCTCCACGCATACTCAGAGTCACTTCCTTGAGTGGGACAAGGCAGAAGGTGCTACTACCAGATAAACTTTAGAGTCTTAGAAGAGAAGTTAACAGCAGCAAGCTGGGAGAACGCCTCTGTGTATAAAGCAAACCCAACGGGTTTACTTTTTGATATTTTGTTAATGTGCAAAAAAAACCCAAAAAATGTTAAACCAAGAGGAGCCACTAATGTTGTGTGTACTTTCCTTTCAGATGATAATTTATTGTGACGCTAACGAATTCAAGGTTGCAGTAAATGGTGTACACAGCCTGGAGTACAAACACAGGTTTAAAGAGCTTAGCAATATTGACACGCTGGAAATTGATGGAGATATTCACTTACTGGAAGTAAGGAGCTGGTAGCTGATATGCTTGCTACAAAAACTGAAATACAAAATGGCTTATGTAACACTGGCCTTGTTAAAATGCATCTATTGTATTTGTGTATATATATTGTTAAAATGAGCTTACATAACATGAAGTCCTACTAGGTGTTCTCAGGCCTTGCCACGCAGTGTAGCTTTGTCTAGCACAGAATAAGGACCTTTGAGGCAACAGGTAACTTACAGTCATTATTCAGGCCTTTCTGTTCTCTCTCGCACTCTGGCCTCTGCTTTTTTAATCTGCCTCACATTCAGCAAGTACCGGTTGATACAGAAGCTAACGTACATGGAGCACGTATTCTCGTCAGCCCTGTGCTAGGAGCTGTGGAGAGAAGTATACAATGGAGCACAGTACCACTCTGTTCCCCGTTTTCTTGAGCTCAGAATCTTCTGTGCTCTGATAATCGTGCCACTGATTTTTCTACAGGCATTAATCACATAAAGTAACCAGAGATAGCTACTCAGCTGTGAAGTCACCTACATAAACTAATTTACAAAACACTACTTCTCTATCGATCACTTTCATACCCAAAGTTCAATCATATCCCATAATGGAAAGGACTGATGTTGCCTTACATCTGGCAGTTTCCTTTAGCATGATAAATACCTAGCTGTACTAGCTGTAAGCATTGCCAAATAATTAACACTATGAAATCTGAACACAGCACAAAGATTAAGGCAAAAAACACAGCAAAACAAAACCAATGGTATTAAAATTAACTTGATGTCAGGCCACTGATGTCTGTACCAGTAAATGCTTAAGAGTACCTGAATTCAGGGTGAGTCCGAAGTGTACACATACTCCAGTAGAAAGTTCAAGGTAGACTTCAACAAAACAATGTCAAGATTAGGTTTCATGACTTCATAAAATAGGCACTATCAATCAGAGGGTAGAATACACCGAGACCAATGGAGTAGAGAGAAGTGGTATAACAATCTATTGCTTGTCCTCATGCAAACAAACCTTGCCTCTCTGCTCTTCTAAAGATTAGTCCCTCATCATTAGCGATAGAGATCAAAACACTGTTCTACTTTAAGTGATTAAAATCAAACCTGTATCAGCAGGTTAAACTGTTGCATTTCTGTAATTTTTTCTATTACTCTTTGAAGCGAGTTGGCAGAAGTTCTTTGTACAATTCTTACAGGTCAGATCTTGTTACAAGAAATTTCCAAGGCTTGGGAGTGGGGAGGTAAAAAAAGCTGAATCAATTTGATCATTTTATCCTGTTAAACTGATGGGCTGAATATGCTGCCAGCATTTACAAATATTTTTCATTACAAATTTTTGGTTAGTCTTTTTGGTATATGGGTACAATAATATCTAAGACTAGTAATCTGATTTTTTAGAAGTACTCAGTGGAGAAGCTTCTGGCACTTAATTCTTTTCTATTCATGTTAATTTATTATGTTGTATCTTGCCAAGCTCATGGGAGGTGGAGGAGGGGGGTCCTAACTTTAACTGGGAAAGTTGTAGAAGGAATCCCCAGGTTTTCTTTTTTTTCCCCTTTCTAAAGAACATCAGAGGACTTACTCAGAGAAAAATGAAAGCCCATGTACATTGTTTCCTCTGATACCTAAATATACCTTCATGTGTAACAAAAGAGTAAACATCAAGTATTACAAGAAAGATTGACAGAAAAACCCCAAAATATTAATGTGTTTTAAAAAGATTTCTTAGATGGGAGTACACATTCCTAGCAAGTGGTATCTCTAAAGCTGCAATTTAGCCTTTTGCTTCGTCACAGTTCTGCACTGTTTCTATATTAAATTAGAACAAAGGCTTTCAAACTAAAATTTTTTAAAGGCATAAGTAATTAAAATGCCTTAAATAAAGGCAGATTTAATTTTTTTTAAAGCCTTTACTTCAAGTGACATCAGAGATTAGAAAACCTCAAAGCTTTGAAACAAATCTGATACTTTCTCGTACAAGTAATTCTTGGATTACCATCAGTGGAAATGTGATCACTTCTAATCCTGGAGGAGCCATGCCACCTAGTGTTTCTGGGCCTTTTCTATTTGTGGGATCTGCCTACACAGCCCACTGCCTTGGCTCCCCAAAGACTGAAGGGTAAAGAAGACAATCGTAGTCCTAAATGGGAAATGCATTCCAGAACTAATTTCCTCTGTGGCCACAGACACAAAAATTAAGGCTGAAGTGTCATCTACCCAAAATGAAAAGTATTCCAAATAGCTTTATAGTCCAAAGCGCTGCTGCTGAGTAATGTCCTTTTCTTGAAGAGCTACCTTGAGTGAAATCTCTGACATGGATACCATGTACATAAGACATCCCTTTCTGGAAGAGAGTTAAGGTTTTATGGTCTAAATGAGGTACTTTCACCTTTGAGTGCCCAAATTAAATACGTCCCTAATATCAATAACTTCAATCAGAAAAGACTTCAACAAATGTTTAAGCAAACACAGCAGTCTGTATACAAATCCCAGGTATCATTTACTCTTACTGCAATTCTGTACAGGTGGCCAGAGAGGTTTCTATGGGAGCACAAACCAGGTGGGAATTTTGTAAAGGAGTCCACACAGGTGTCAGGGTACCAAAAGTAGTATGGTACCAAACACCCAAAAATAAAAATATGAAAAATAAATCTGACTTCTGAGCAGAGTAAGAAACACCAAACCCCCGAAGTTTTAGAAGTAGCTCTGGAGCGGCTCTCCCAGTATAGCTTCCAGTTGCTGAATAGTCTTTTGGCACTGATGTTCTACTTCTTCACATTCATCTGAAAAACAAAAATAAAAACTGAACCAATCTCCTGCTTCAATTATCATTCGTCTAATACTTCAGGTCTTAAATTCTCTGGCCATTGTTCAATCAAAAGAGGGAAATGAAAATTCAATGCAGCAGAGAGCATCTCCTCTCCTCCTCCTCTGCATGCCCCCCCTTCTTGCCTTTGTTCCCTTCTTGGTCTCAGACCTAGAAGCTGAGTAAGACAGAGCCCCCAAAATAGTGGTACAGTAGTGAAAATTCCGAATTCCTAGTGATGCCCCTCGTCCAGGACATAAGAAACAGAGGTGAATGTACTTTTAGAAAAGTAGTGAACCATTAATATGAAAAAGCCATTTGTCTACTTGGCTCCGTCCGCCCTGCCTAATAAGACGTGAACCGTTCTCCCTCGGCCTGCGTGGTGGCACGTGTGCAGTACGTCCACAACTGCTCAGAGCTGGATTCAAATGCCACTTCTACCTATCACACTCACGTTATCAAACTAATCCTTGTCAAGCCTCTGGTTTCTTCCTTTTTGAAAACAGGGATAATGGCATACAGCCCGTCATGAGGATTAAATGAGATCCTCCATGAAGAGCACAGAGTAAATGTTGGTCATTATTAACAGGCAGCTAACCTACTGCAATCTTTTTTTTTTTTTTAAGATTTTATTTATTTATTTGAGAGAGAGAATGAGAGAGAGCGAGCACATGAGAGAGGGGAGGGTCAGAGGGAGAAGCAGACTCCCCACTGAGCAGGGAGCCCGATGCGGGACTCGATCCAGGGACTCCAGGATCATGACCTGAGCTGAAGGCAGTCGCTTAACCAACTGAGCCACCCAGGCGCCCTAACCTACTGCAATCTTAATGGCACCAGACACTCTGCTACAATAACCCTATGTCTGGGGACCAAAACAGTCAATGACCTAAATGTCCAAGATTGATGAAAAACCACATTGTAGTATGTTTTTACCATCATAAACACAAAAGTAAAGGTAGTGAAGATTACACTGTGAGCAAAGTTTCTTATGATCCTGGGGCAGCCCCCTAGCATGCTCCCCACCCTACTCAAAACAGGAACTCGGCCTCCTGTGTCTGCAGCAGGAGATGCGGTGCAGGCGGAAGATGGGAACCAAGGGCTCGTCACATTCTATCCACATTGCCATTACCCCTGGGCACATTTTCACAGAATTTTACTGTAATTATTTCTTAGTAGTTTAGGAATTACCTTCCATCAGTTCAGCTAAGAAAGGAATGGACTCTGGCAGCAAGACAATATAATTCTCCTTTAGTTTCTCAGCTAGTGCTAACACGGTAATCAGAGCAGCAAAGCGGACCTGAAAGGGATAAAGAGGTGAAGAATAAGGATTTTAAAAAACCCCCAAAAAAGTATTGCCACATTTATATCTTATGACTCACATGAAACAGCCTCTGACTTTTTACGCTAAATGTTCCTTTACATGAGTTTGCTCCCCTTGCGTCCACTCAGCTTTCATCTCAGAATACCAATTTAACAATTTGGGCTCCATTTATAATATGAGCAACCTTCTACAAACCAGTGTCTTCCAGTACTGCAGGGCTTAATGTGAATATATTTTTTATAACATTTTCTTTTTTTGAGAGAGAACGCGCATGTGCACACAGGTGGTGGAAGGTTGGGGGCAAAGGCAGAGAAAGAGAATCTTTTTTTTTTTAAGTTTTTATTTATTTTATTTGAGAGAGAGAGAATGAGAGACAGAGAGCATGAGAGGGAGGAGGGTCAGAGGGAGAAGCAGACTCCCTGCCGAGCAGGGAGCCCGATGCGGGACTCGATCCCGGGACTCCAGGATCATGACCTGAGCTGAAGGCAGTCACTTAACCAACTGAGCCACCCAGGCGCCCGACAAAGAGAATCTTAAGTAGACTCCGTGCTGAGCATGGCGCCCAATGTGGGACTTAGTCTCACCACCCTGAGATTAGGACCTGAGCCGAAACCAAGTCAGAAGCTTAATCGACTGTACCACCCAGGCGCCCCCACATCTTCCTTTAAAAATAAAATGCTACAGGGCGCCTGGGTGGTTCAGTTGGTTAAGCGACTGCCTTTAGCTCAGGTCATGATCCCGGAGTCCTGGGATCGAGTCCCACATCGGGCTCCCGGCTCATCAGGGAGCCTGTTTCTCCCTCTGACCCTCTCCACTCTCATGCTGTTTCTCTCTCTCTCTCTCTCAAGTAAATAAATAAATAAAATCTTTAAAAAAAAATAAAATAAAATGCTACACACAAACTCAAGAGTATCATTCCAAATTTCTGTACACTGGAACTCACTGGCTCACCTAGCTGTCAGAGATGAGGCTGGGCTGGCTGAAAAGCATCCCTGGTCACCTCAGGCAGGGCCCCTCACTCAGAACCTGGTGTCACCACTACAGTCGTGGGAGGGGATGGGCGCTGGCTCTGGTCTCATGCTCAGCACAGAATTAAAAAACACTTAATGTATTATGATGTTCCAGTCTAGGAACTTAAAAAAAAGTGTAGGTGTCTCTCACATGACTGGTCTATGACAAGTAATACAAGCAGTCGTCGGGCACTGTTCGTGATCCACTATTTTTTGTTTTTAAAAGATTTTATTTATTTGAGATAGCAAGAGAGGAAGAGCACAAGCCGGGGGGGGGGGGGGGGGCGGGGCAGACGAGGAAGGAGAGGGAGAAGCAGCTTCCCCGCTGAGCAGGGAGTCCAATGCAAGGCTCAATCTCAGGACCCCGAGATCACGACCTAAGTCGAAGGCAGATGCTTAATGGACTGAGCCACCCAGGCGCCCCAGTGATTCACTTTGAAATCAAAGCTGTACTAGTCCTCCTGGTTTTGGATCATTTAAAAAATATTTGGATACAGCAAAATTATTTAAAAAGCGTCTGTAACTACCTATGTTCAAACCAGACTTTCTTGATATTATACAATCAAAACATTCAAATAAATTTAATGCTACAACAACTTTGTAAGAACCTGCAATTTAAAATTTGGGGGTTCATGAAAATAGCCTCATTGTTCTCTTTGTTCTAATAAATAAATATTACAAATTTCAAGTACGAAACCTTTCAGTAAAATTCTGTTTTGGTCTGTTTTATTCACTGAGGCTCTTGTATGATAATTAGAGAAATGGTGATGCACTGCCAACTAGTTTGAAAACACTGACACTCAGGCATGGAATTTAATTTCCATTCATCCTCACGCAGGTCAGTGAGCTGCTTACCTTTTGTTATTCCACAAAATCCTAAGCCTGATAAATACAATGGAGGTAATATCACTGCTCTAACTCAAAGGAATGTTCTGCGGGCAAACTGAAAGTCTGTCTCTGGGAAAACAAGGACATTTAAATGGGGCTTAA